GTTTTCTAATGCTGCTGTACCAAACCACCACAACTTAGTGGCCCAGAACAACACAAATGTATTATGTCATAGTTTCGGAGGGCAGAAGTCCAAACAGGTCTTCCTGGGCTAAAACCAAGGTGTCCTTTGTGGAGGCTCTAGGGGAAAATCCATTCTCTTGCCTTGTCTTGCTTCTAGAGGCTGCCTGCACTCCTGGGCTCTAGCCCCCTCCGCTGTGCAAAGCCAGCTATGGCCAGGAGAGTCTTTTTCCCATCATATCACCCCAACACTCTCTTTTGCCTCCCTCTTCCACTTTTAAGGACCTTTATGATCGCATCGAGACCAGGTGCGTAATCCAGGCCAGCTGACTGGCAACCTTAATTCCCCTTGGCCATGAAAGGTAACACAGTCACAAGTTCCAGAGGTTAGTACACGGACATCTTTGAGGGGCTGTTATCCTCCAAAAGGATAAAGCTTTCTGTTTACCTATTTAAATACATCATCGTCTTTCTAGTCTTTGTAATCTCCACCCCTGGAGAAGCAAACTGCTCCCTTCTTAAATGTAATGTGTTCTTCTATCATGACTGGAGAAGCAAACTGCTCCCTTCTTAAATGTAATGTGTTCTTCTATCATGACTTACTTATGAATCCTAATATCATTGCTTTCATGATGGAGCGCTTTTGTGAAAAAAATTGGCTTTAATAGAAAACAAATTGGGTACAACTGATGACAGTCTCGTCTGGTTATCTGTATGTTCAGTTCCCATTTACTATTTTTATTTATTTTCTCCAGTCCATCTCAGATTTTTTACAGAATTCAGTGTTGATTCAGTGTTTGCAGTTGTGTAGCGCGCCTCCCGTCATTCTTTCATCTTTGAAAACTCCACAATTCAGCAACTACATTTTTGCAGTGTCAAAACCTCAGCCGCCTGTAACAGTTTCAAATGGTACACGGTGTTCTGACAGGGAGCATTTCACCTGAGTATGTGGGCGTGTCTACTCTTTCTCTTATTGTGACTCAACGGAGCGTATAATAAAGAAAAACTTGTAGGCAGGTGCAAACAAGTCCCTTAAGTATAACAAAACATATGTTTTGCTTAACAAATGTACCTTTCTTTAACGTTTTAATGGACGGGAATGAGCTCTGATGAGTCATGCCTCCTGGAAGCAGCCGTTCTGTGATACACACCATCTGTGAAAAGAGCATGTGCAGAGTCTGCTTGGTCAACTGTGTGGGAGTCCCAAGACCACCCTCAGGCTCAGTGATTCGCTGGAAGGACTCACAGGACTCAAGAGCTCATGGTCTATTCCAGTGAGAGGATACAGATCCAAGTCATCAAGGGCAAAATGCACACGGGGCGCCGTCCAGGAACACCCAGGCCCAAGCTTCTAGGAGACCTTTCCCACTGGAATCATACAGGGACACACTTAGTTCTCCCAGAAATGATGTGTGACCACAGGTGCAAGGTATTGCCAACCAGAGCAGCGCACCTGAGCCTTGGTATCCAGGGTTCTTACTGGAATCCAATCACATGGCAATGATAGCATCTGCATGATTGATCTTAGCTACGCAGACTCAGGGCCCAAGAGGCTAAGCGGACCCAGCGTGGCCCAGGGTCTCAAACGCAAAAACACTCTGGTGAAGCAGGACATTTCAAGGGCTCGGTGGTATCTTCTGGGAGCCAGCCAAGGGCCAGTCCTCCTGAAGACGGGCCTTTCTTTGGAATGTGCAGGCTTTGGACAGCCCCGGTCTGCTGCGTTGCCCCTTGACTGCCCACCAGGAGATAGTGTTACGTGACCATTATTTTTTTGTCTTTTTTCAGCTTTATTGGGGTATAATTGGCAAATAAAATTATAAGATATTTAAAGCACACACCATGATAATTTGATATACGTATACATGATGAAAAGATTCCCACCATCTAGTTAATTGACGCATCCATCTCCTTGCCCGTTGCCTTTTGTGCGAGAACATTTAAGTTCTCTCCTCTTCGAAAATTTCAACTATACAATATAGCGTTATTAACAAGAGTCACCATGTTACGCAGTAGATTCTCAGACTTTTTCATCTTATAGCTGCAAGTTTGTACCTTTTTACCAAACTCTCCCTATCTGCCCCCCAACCCCTGCTGGAAACCACTTTTCTGCATTACATATGTAATATTCAAAGAATATAGAAATATATAAAATAAAAAGGGGCTTCTCCCCCTATACACCCCGAGCCCCTCAAATCCCCTTCTTGAAATAACCAAAGTTATATCTTGGAATATATCCTTCCAAGAACCTTTGCTAAGCATATATAAACATTATATATATATACACATACATACACAGACACACATACACACACACACACACACACACACACATACATAGTTTTAGGATTTCTTTTTTTAATGGGGTCCTACTGCATGTCTTCAGCTAACTTTTTACTTACATCTTTCTTATGGCCACCTATAGCTCTATCTCATTCTTTTTAAAGGTTGTATTTCATACTGTTGATAAAACAATTTATTTATGTTCTCTCACTGCGGAGCATTTTGGTTACTTCCCATTTTTTGTTGTTTTCTTTTTTTTAATTTTTATTTATTTTATTTATTTATTTTTGGCTGCGTTGGGTCTTCGTTGCTGCACGCGGGCTTTCCCTAGTTGCGGCGAGCAGGGGCTACTCTTCGTTGCGGTGCGCGGGCTTCTCATTGCGGTGGCTTCTCTTGTTGTGAAAAATGGGCTCTAGGCGTGCAGGCTTCAGTAGTTGTGGAACATAGGCTCAGTAGTTGCGGCTCGCGGGCTGTAGAGCGCAGGCTCAGTAGTTGTAGTGCACAGTCTTAGTTGCTCCGCGGCATGTGGGATCTTCCTGGACCAGGGCTCGAAACCGTGTCCCCTGCATTGGCAGGCGGATTCTTAACCGCTGCGCCACCAGGGAAGCCTGGTTACTTCCCATTTTTGCCATCACAAATGAGGCTGCAACAGATATCTCTGCACACACTCTTTTTCTGTCATGTGATACTTTTTTTTTTACCCCTAAGGTGAACTTTTTTCTTCCCCCTAAGCTGAGCTTCTGAGAAAGCATTCACCAAAAGTTAAAATGTAATTAAACATGATATCTAAGAGTCCACAATCAGATAATAAGAGAGAGAATCCATAAACATTGAGGGCGCATAGGATCCAGGAGGTGAAGGAGATGGTCAGTCTGGGATACACCCAGATACGAGTGCGAGGCTCCCAGGCGGCTGCCTTCCTGCTTGAGGCCAGAGGACCTGCGCTCCGACAGGCGCTGCAAGCCCCGCGGCCCAGGACAAGTCACTTAGCCCACCTGAGTCGCATTCCCCTCATCTCTAAAACAAGGTCAGTCATCACACCTACCTCCTGGGGTCGTCATGAAGATGAAACAGAACGAGGCAATGTACAGACACACGCAAAACAAGGCAGTGTACAGACACATCTTGTTGCCCCATCCTGGAACCACCTTCCCAAGCACATATGGAGAGATTGTGAAATGCTAAGGCACCAGCTGTCACCTGGGGGAGGTTTCTCTCCTGACTTAAGATGAAGCCACGATCTGAAACATGAAGATTCAGATTCTCCCATTTATGCTTCTTCCAGAAATAGGCAGCCGCGCATGATGAGAGGTGGGTGGGAGCTCTACGTTGCCCTCCCACACTTTCAGTGCCAGGTGACTCTTACAAGGAAAGCGAGTGTTTATAGAAGAATCCTGCCACCATGGAAACGCTTCGCACACGATGTTATTTCTAACATCCCTTACGTTCAGTAAGGGACCTCTGTGTCTGATGACGGGGATGCCTGAAAGCCTTTACCGTGGCCACTGCTGGATCCAGGCAGATGCACTGCGTTGCTCCACGGGTGCCATTCACGGTATCTCGAGGGAGTGGCACTCCCTAGAGTCATGCAGAGCAGCAACCTGACTCTGCACAGTGGCTCCCTATGGGGGTGTTGCAGAGCCTTGCCCTGGCCTGTGCACTCTCGACTAGGGTACTTCCGGGGTTGTCTGCCACCCGCGAGGATGCACACTGACATCCAGCCTACACAGACACACCTGCCACACTGCCTGTACCAAAGTTTCTTAATTTTTTCATAGTTTATTGAAGTATAGTTGATTTACAATATCGTGTTCATTTCTGCTGTACAGTAAAGTGATTCAGGTACACATATGTATACATTCTTGTTCATATTCTTTTTCATTATGGTTTACCACAGGATACTGAATACTGTTCCCTGTGCTCTACAGTAGGACCTGTTGTTTATCCAGCCTATATATACTAGTTTGCCTCTGCTAATCCCACACTCCCAATCCATCCTCCCCCACCCGCCCTCCCCCTTGGCAACCACAAGTCTGTTCTCTATGTCTGTGAGTCTGTTTCTGTTTTGTAGATAAGTTCATTTGTGTCATATTTTAGATTCCTCATATAAGGGATATCACATGGTATTTGTCTTTCTCTTTCTGACTTACTTCACTTAGTATGATAATCTCTAGATCCATCCATGTAGCAACATGGCAAATGGCATTATTTCATTCTTTTTTGTGGCTGAGTAATATTCCATTGCATATATGTACCACATCTTCTTTATCCATTCATCTGTCGATGGACATTTAGGTTGTTGCCATGTCCCGGCTATTGTGAATAGTGCTGCTATGAATATAGGGGTTCACGTCTCTTTATGAATTAGAGTTTTGTCTGGATATATGCCCAGGAGTGGGATTGCAGGATCATATATGCTACAGTATTTTCAAGTAATTCCAGAAAATGTAAAAACCTGAACACTATAACCAGCAATGTGATCACTATTTTCTTTTCTTTTCTTTTCTTTTTCTGTCATGGTGCGCAACCTGTGGGATCTCAGTTCCCCGACCAGGAATCAAACCTGGGCCCTCGGCAGTGAAAGCGCGGAGTCCTAACCACTGGCTCTCCAGGGAACTCCCTCTATTTTTAATAAAATCCTTAGTATGTCCAGCTGTCCTTCTATCATCATATTAATATCTGAAAAATGTCCTTCAAATGCAGAAAAAATATCGTCGACCCAGAAGATCCCCGCTGTGCCCGGTTAACGCTCACTGGCCAGATGGTCGCAGTGTCTCCGGAAGAAGTGGAATTTGCCAAGCAAGCCATGTTTTCAAGGTTGGTATCTGCTTTAAGGTTGGTTTGCCCAGAAACATACAGTGTGAGAAGCAGAGGTTGGGGCTATGCCATTTGATGCCTCTGAGGTGATGACAGTAATGGTCTGAGCTGTCCTTTGGTGGCAACACTGCCGTCTGACGCTGAAAGTCTTGGTCGCCTGAGGGGGCAGCAGAGGCCACGCATGTGACCTTGCAGTGGGCTGTCCGTGCCTTTGGAGAGCGCCCCATGCTGGGGTTGCAGGCACTGTTCCCTGCATACTTCCAGCCTTTCACAATGGCCCTGCCTTGGAATGGAGAAAAAGGGGGCTTTGTGGTCCAGTCAATACAGCAGACATTTGCAAATGTCCACTCTAAGCAGAGCTCGGCACCAGAAGTGACAGCAGTGTTCCTTCGTGTGGGACCCTCACCCCTTTTATAGCCGAACCACTTAGGATGCAGCTTTCGAGCTGCCCCCCACCACCTGCTTCCCGAATTGGATGCCCTGGACGTTACACTCAATCAAAATTTTAAAATGACATCCCAGGAAATCGGCATGCGTGCTGCTAGGGTCAAAATGAGTGACACGGGAGCCCCGGGAAGCGGGGGAGGAGATCAGCGTTTGCAAAAAGTGAGAAGGGTGGTCCTGCAGGGGTGCTGGAGTCTGTCTCTATGGGTGAGGAGAGGGTCTGTGCAGGGGGAGGCCTGAGGTGGAAGGTCAGAGCTGGAGTGAGGAGGGGCGGGTATCCACATGGGGTGTGGGCTGGCAGATTGGTACTTGTCTAAGTTAGTGGGAGAGTAACATGAAAGCAGGTGGTAAATTAGACAAGCCATCCGCATCCCTATGGAGATGGGATGATTGTACATACAGGGGAATCATGAAATAAGTAAACATACAGCAAGTCCCCTACATACGAACAAGTTCCCTTCCGAGAGTGCGATCCTAAGTCCAATTTCTTTGTTAAGTCCGACACGGTTAGCCCAGGTACCCAACTAATACAATTGGCTCCACAGTACTGTACTGTAATAGGTTTATGATACTTTTCACACAAATAATACCTAAAAAACAGACACACAAAAGAATAAAGAAAACAGTTTTACACTTACAGTACAGTGCCTTGAAAAGTACAGCCGTCCAGTACAGCAGCTGGCATCCAGGGGCTGGCGTCGAGGGAACAGGCAAGAAGGGTTACGGACTGGAGGAGGGAGAGGAGGGGGGAGGTGGCAGAGCTGAAGGATCTCCGGCAACAGGAGACGGAGGGCAAGCTGCCATGTCACTCACGCCCGACGCTGATGGCACAGGTCCTGGTTCCCTGCTGGATTCAGTTGTTCACATCTTTGAAAGTTCACAACTTGAAGGTTCGTATGTAGGGGACTTAGTGTAGTAATAAGTAAACACAGAGAGAGGAAGCCTGGTTTCTCACCGCCATGGAAGAGAGTTAGCAACACGCACAGGAGGACACTAGATCAGCCTGGAATTGGATCCATCCACACGGACTTGTGGTTTTCAATACACAGACAGAGAGATAAATGGAGATGCGTGTGTCTGTGTGCCTGTGCGCATCTCAGCTGTCACTCTTTAGTTCTGATTTCTCCTCTTCCACGTTATGATGGGCAGTGAGATGAAGTCAAAGCCGCAGGAGACATTTGCGTTCATTAAGTTCGTTTCCTATTTTCCACATTACCGCAGGTAACAGTGTTGCCAGAATTTCCACTACTGGATGATGTGGGTCCCTTTACTACACGCATCCAACCACCTTGTCTTTACCTTCTTTAAACGCCCGTGGTCAGTCTCCTGCGGTCCTTCCAGCATCCTACTGCCTGGACCCCAAGCCAGGGCCTCACGGACTAGAATTTGCTGTACCTACGTTCCCCTTGCAGGGGCCAAAATTTGTTCCGGTTATAAATACAAAACTAGTTGGCTTAAAATAACAACAATCATGTTATCATCTCAGCTGCATGAGTGTTTGGAGCGTTGGGGCCTCAGATCAGCAACTTACTTTCAAATGGTTTAGGAAAAAAAAAAAAAAGTTCTTTATACCGTACTTTCAACCTCTCTGTCAATTTGCAATGATTCCAAAAAAAATATTTTTTTTTAAAGGCATCAACCTATCACTGCACTGGCATTATTGCAAATGTTTTTCCCAGTTTACACTTGGTCTTTGAATTTTGTTTATAACATTTTTAGATGTAAATAAAACTTCTATTTTTATGAAGTTTTAAAAAAGTGAGCGCCAGACCCTGCCCTCAAGGAGGATGCGTGTTTTTAGGCCTACGCCTGAGGGAGGAGGAAGTCAGAAACAGAGGGCGGAATGTGAGGGCTGTTCCCTGTCTACGCTGGCTGGTTCTCAGGTTGACGCGACCGCTGTAGGCCTCTACAGGAATGGAAAGCTTCCCGTGAACACATTTGTTTCCCGGACTTAAAATTCAGCATTTCACATAGAGATGCTTAGAGCCTTTCGCGATGCTTCCTGGTAACAATGGCCCCCGTCCCCTGGGCACGTCCTCTATGCAAGTGCTGTATGTGTCTCATCATTTGCTGCCCACACAGCCCTGTGATCTGACCACCATCCCTCTCGCCCCATGTGACTGGGAAGGAGACCGGGCAGGCTTAAGAGAGCAAACGGCCCATGAGGCATCCCAGCAGCTGAACTGGAGTTCGAACAAAGTTGCCTGGCTCGAGACTTGAGCTGTCTGCCCCTCTGTGGTGACAACAGTTTCCTGCCCTCCTAAGGCTGCCCCAGACCTTGACCCTGGCTCCCTGGCTTCTGCCTCTAGCTGGTTTGAGCAGGTCTCAGCCTAAACACAGCCTGGCGTCTGGAGGGCCCTATGACCTGACCAAGGATACATCTGGCACTGTGCTCAGGAGAGCCCACCCTCTGATGAGAACGGCTTTAATGTGACGTCTTTGTTTCTGCAGACACCCAGTTATGAGGAAGTGGCCTCGTCAGTATGAATGGTTCTTTATGAAGATGAAGATAGAACATATCTGGCTTCAGAAATGGTATGGAGGAGTAGCTGACATTTCCAGGGAGGAATATTTCAAAGCAGTTCCAAGAAAGGCCTGATGGAGTGAGAAGAAGGTCCTTGATGTTTGCGTAAAATGAAAACCTTTTGAGCGATGCTGCCAGACAGCAGTTGACTGCTGTCTCTTTGTGAAAGGGTTCACTGCAGCCCTGTCAGTCTTACAGCAGAGTGAGAGTGGGTCACCAGGGACCCCTGTGCTAGCTGGAGATTGGAGGCCATTTGCAAATGGCCAGATCATACAGGGACTTCACATAGAGAGTCTGTTTACATGTGTTCAGTCCAGACTCACCTATGTGGGATCACTGTTGGTTGTCACGTTGAGACAGTTGCTGTTCCATTCTTTAAGATAAAAAACAACAAGAACAACCAAAAACCCTACGCCTGTATGTACAATGTGATTGCTTTGTATCGTGAGAGTATGTTTGTTGCTTGTTGTACCCAAAGCAGTATCCTGGTTCTGAGCTCATTGCAACCACAGAAGAACTAAATACGCATCACACAGCTGCCGTCTGGTGTTTAGGGTGAGGGTGCAGGACTCTTTGTCTGTGGGTTACCATCCTGCTGCAGAATGGCAAATGCATTATTGAGCCCCGTTTGCTAGAATGTACTGGTCACTCGTGAAGCTTTTCTCCCACTGCAACATGACAAACCATGTGGGAACCCCCCGAGTTTGGTGCACAGCCCTATTCTAGGTGATCGGGCCATGGTGGTACATTAAGGGAGGGGCAGCTTCGGCAACAGGCTCCCCAGATCCCCTCTGCTAGTGCTGGGATAGAGGGTCCCCTTCTCTTAGGCTTGGGGAGTGGTACTCAGTCTGTGGTAGAGAGAGAGGAGGGGGACAGGGAGAGGCTGGAAAGGAAGCAAAGGCAACGACGTATAAGAAAAGGAAGGAAAGAAGTAAGTAACTGGAGGTACGCTCCCTACGCAGCCATGGGCCAGGCCCTTGACGGGGTCATCTCACTGAAGCCTTACAGCCAATGAGATGAATCATCATTGCCACTTACAGACAAGAACACTGAGGCTCAGAGAGGCTAAGTCAACATCCCAGGGTCTGATTCCACCACTCACTGCACGCAATGGAGAGAGTGGTACCTAGACAATTTCCAATTCTAAGAACAAGACAAAAGAGTTACTGGTAGTCATTGAATCAGTAAAATCAGTAAAACGATGACTAACCTGCCTGTAGATTGGCCACTGTTTTCTACCAAAAAAGAAAACAAGTCTCTGAAATTTGATTCTTATTACAGATTTTAAATTTTCTACAAATCGTATGCAGGAGCACCTGCGTTGTACCTGTGTGTATACCTAAGGCCTACAAGGACCTATGTGTATACTTCCAAGACCTCTTATATTGAAATTTATAAAGGGTCTAGCACCACCCAGTTTTCTGCCATTTTATATGGCTCTAAACCCTCTTTGGTCAGTTAGGTATATTGTATAAATATAAAACTACAATACACAAAATATAGGAAATATACATTTAAAAAATAAATAATAGTGTTATTAATGGTTACACTTTTGTTTAAAAAATTAAGACACGAAGAGAGTGAGTTGTCCAAATATTTTTAAGTGCCTGTTACTAAAAGCATAGTAAGAGGCACAGAATTCTTTATTTATCAAAAGTCAAATCACGAAAGTGTTCCTTAACAATAGCAATTTCTCATATATAAGAATAAGGTAACTTTGAGGGTATTTCATATTTTCAGAGTTTAAAATTGTTGCTACCCCCATTTAGAGGTAAGAGGGGAAAACTGGAAGGAGAAACCACATACTCCGTAAGCCAACCTCAAATTGTAATTCTCTGGAACGTCTCTGTGTCCAAGTCCCATCTGAAAGATAATTTTCCTAACGCTAGTTTTGCTTTTACAGTCAGGTTTCACTTAGCTTGTTAAAGCTCACTCAGCTGCCTCGAGGAGCTTTGCAGCTTAACCACTGATGACGGTTATCAGTTATTTATCCAAATTACAGGGAATGGAATCTGAACAGGTTGGATGATAAGAAGAGTGTTGAAAAGGCATCTGCTTGAAAGGGAACCCTTTTGCACTGTTGGTGGGAATGTAAATTGATGCAGCCACTATGGAGAACAGTATGGAGGTTCCTTAAAAAACTAAAAATAGAATTACCATATGACCCAGCAATCCCACTACTGGGCATATACCCAGAGAAAACCATAGTTCAAAAAGACACGTGCACCCCAATGTTCAGTGCAGCACCATTTACAATAGCCAGGTCATGGAAGAAACCTAAATGCCCATCGACAGACGAATGGATAAAGAAGATGTGGTACATATGTACAATGGAATATAACTCAGCCATAAAAAGAAACGAAATTGGTTCATTTGTAGAGACGTAGATGTATCTAGAGACTGTCATACAGAGTGAAGCAAGTCAGAAAGAGAAAAACAAATGTCATACATTAGCGCATATGTGTGGAACCTAGAAAAATGATATAGATGAACCGGTTTGCAGGGCAGAAATAGAGACACAGATGTAGAGAACAAACGTATGGACACCAAGGGAGGAAAGTGGGTGTGTGTGTGTGATGAATTGGGAGATTGGGATTGACATATATACACTAATATGTATAAAATAGATAACTAATTTAAAAGAATCTAATTTAAAATAGATATCTATAAAATAGATAACTAATAAGAACCTGCTGTATAAAAAATAAATTAAATAAAATTCTAAAATTCAAACAAAAAAAGCAAAAAAAAAAAAGGCATCTGTTTGAGAATAATGGACCCCATTCAGGCCAATAAGTTTTAGCAAATCTCTAGAAATTTACATTGATTAAAATTTTAAAGGCTGTATTGGAATTTCTGGACATGGCAATAAGGCAATAAAAAGAAATAAAATGCATATGATTGAAAAGTAATAAAAGTATCCCTATTTACAGATGATGTAACTGTCTACATAAAAAATTCCAAAAAATCTATTTAAAAAAAAAAAGTAAAACAACTGATTTCAGCAAGGTCTTAGGATATAAGATCACAAAAAATTTAATCATATTTCTATATATTAACAATAAACAAAGTGGAAACCCAAATTTTAAACACAATAGCATTTACAATCACTCCAAAAGGAAAAAAAAATACTTAGGTGTAAGTTTAACAAAAATGTGTATAGGATCTATAGGCTGAAAATTAAAAGATGCCAATGAAAGAAATCAAAGACCTAAATAAATGAGGAGACATACCATGTTCATGGATTAGAGGACACAAAATAGTAAAAATGTCAATTCTCCCCAGATTCATCTATATGTCTAATGCAGTTTCTATCAAAATCCCAGCAAGGTTTTTGTAGACATATTCAAGCTTATTCTAAAAGTTCTAAGGCACAGGCCTTGGAATAGCTAAAACTATCTTGTAAAAGAAGAATAAGTAGAAGAAACCACTCTACTCAGTATAAAGACTTATTATGTAGCTACACTAATCAAGACAGTGTGGTATTGGTGGAGGCATAGACACAAAAGATCGATGGAACAGAACAGAGAATCTAGAAATAGACCCATACAAATATGCGCAACTGATTTTTTTTTAAGTACAAAAGTAACCCACTGGAGGGAGGATAGTCTTTTCAATAAACATGCTGAGCAATCAGTTATCCACGGGCAAATAAAAAGAACCTCAGGCTAAATCCCATACCTTATATAAACATTAACTCAAAATAGATCATAACGCTAAACATAAAATGTAAAACCGTAACACTTTTTTTAAAAAAATAGAAAATCTTTGGACCTAGGGCTAAACTAAGCAAAGACTTCTTAGACTTGACACCAAAAACCTAAAGTCCATAAAAGGAAAGTTTGATAAATTGGACTTCACCAAAATTTTAAACTCTTATTCCTCAAAAGACCATGTTAAGAGGATGAAAAGACAGGCTACGCTGGGAGGAAATACCTGCCAACCGCGTATCCAACAAAGGACTACCGTCTAGAATAGATGGAGAACTCTTACAGCTCAACAGTTCTTTTAAAAAATCCAATTAGACAATGGAGAACATGAACAAATGTTTCTCTGAAGAGGCTATGGCAGATTAGCATGTGAAAAGATACTCAACGTCATCAGTCATTAGGGAACTGCAAATTAAAACCCCAGTAGATGCCACGAGGCACCTACCAAAGTTGCTGAAACACAGTAACAACACCAAATGTTGGCAAGAATCCCGTTGGCAGAGCAACGGGATCAACCTATAGCTGGTGGGAAAGTAAAATGGAACAGCCACTCTGGAGAACCAACTGACAGTTTCTTATAAAACTAAACAAGCAACTGGCATAAGACTCAGCAGTTGCAGTCCTGGGCATCCATCCCAGGGAGATGAAAACGTATGTTCACACAAAAACTTGCACATAAATGTTCATAGCAGCTTTATTCATAATGTTCCAGATCTGTAAACAACCAGATGTCCTTTATTTTTTAAATTAATTTTTATTGGAGTACAGTTGCTTTACAGTGTTGTAGATGTCCTTTAACGGGTGACTGGTGAAACAAATTGTGATACATCCATGCCATGGAATACTACTCAGCAATAAAAATAATTTCCAATACAAGCAACAACTTGGATGAGTCCTCAGAGAATTATGCTGAGTGAAAAAACCCATCCCCAAAGGTTATGTCCTGTATAATTCCATTTATATAACATTTTGAAATGCAAAATTCTAGAAATGGAGAACAGATTAAGGGTCACCAGGGAGGAGGGTGGAGAAGGAGAGAGGTGGGTGTGTCTGTAAAAGGGATCTTTTATTGTGATGGAAATGTTCCCTAGCTTGTCTGTATCAATGTCAAAATCCTGGTAATGATATTGTATCATTTTGCAAGATGTTACCGTTGGGGGAAAATGGGTAAAAGGCACACAGAACCTCCATATTACTTCTTACAACAGCATGTGAATCTACAATTATCAGCAATTCTCTCAGAATCTATTATACAATTATCTCAGAGTAAAAAGTTTAACACAAACAAAATTTAAGGCTTAGCTTAAATAAGGCATTTATGCCCTCTCGTTGGTCCCTAATGAAATGAAGAGCTGAGCTACGTACCAAAACCTAGCAGAATGGACATTTGTTTCCTTTAACCATTAATATATGCGTTTTTGGAAGAGAGAAAAAATTTACTTGAAAGTTTTCAAAATGTATTCGATTTAATACTGAATACAAATTAACAAAAATTCAACAAACCTGTATAGATTTTATGTGGGACACTTAGAAGAGGAGGCTGTCTTTCAGTTTCTGAAATAAATATGTTAAGCTACAGGTGTATATAGGTATCCAAGTCTGTGCACAGTGATTCTCCACTGATGTTCATAGCAAAGAACAGTATTTCCAGTAATCCTCCTCTAAATATTCTGGGAAAGAATTCTTCTTTTGTATCTATGAATAAGCCATATCCTAACCTCCACATTTTTATTTCCCATGATTGTACACATCCATAGTGTTGACACAGAGAGTGGAATTCTGATGTGACTTGTTTCAATATGCCTTGTATATACTGACTCGTTATAAAAGAGTGGTTTGGGGTTGAAATGTATTTCTACAGTTTTTCCAGAAAGTCTGTATTTCATATTTAATAATTTAACCATCAGATGCTGTTCTGAAAATAAACCTTCTGTAGGATAATTTATTGATGCTTATTTGATTGTTTATAACAAGTCAATTGTTATAAAATTTGAGTTGTAATGAAGCTGTGGTTTGCGCTGTGTAATGCATGTGCAGTGTAAAATCTATTTTCGAAACTAGATGTCTGTCTAACCAAAGACTATTTCACTCCTGCTGTGATTTCCATGCTTGATTAAATAAATTTATAATATTTCTACACCGTCCTTTCATGTAATATTACAAATTGACATTATTAGATTTCTAAGAAAATAAACGCTATTACAATAAATCAGCAGTTACATTTCCAATAGAAAGAAAAGAACTAGCTGAGTGATTTGTTGATATGATTTTTTAAGGCTCTGAGTACAATGCACTTAATTTGCAGACTGGAAAATGCTGAGGTAACCACACTTTGGTGCTCCCACTCTTGGAAGTATTTGCCATTTTTAGCATAGTTGTTATTCTTCGAATTCAGGTCTCCAAAAACCTCCTCTTGCTAATAAGAAAACATGCCACAGGGTCACACTTAAGACTGTGGCAGAAGATGACGCATGCCCACAAGAGTGATCAATACTGCAGTTTCTGTAGACCCCCCCGACCAACACTCCGGCTTCTCAGAGATCGTCTTATCTTAGAGACAAGGCAGAGAGAGACCAAGCGGCCCAAATGACCCAGGACTGAGGGTCCCCGGGACACAGGACTTTCAGTGGTAAAGTCAGAAAATCCAGGGCCAATCAGATGGATTGGTCACCCTACCTTCACTCCACCTCACGCCCCAGGTCCTGAGCGGGTCACCTCCAGATCCGGCCCACCTTGGAAACTGTGCATTTGAATATTCAGGCACCTCCAACCTCACCTCCCTCCTTCCAGCCCCCTCTCCTGCTCCGGAGCCCTGAGCTGCTTT